ACACTGCTTGGCCTCCCAGGCCCTTTGCAATTGAGGTGGAAGCCTTCTTACCCTCAGAATTTGTGCATTTTTTTTGCACCCAAAATCAGTGCCATGTGGATGCTGCCAAGGTTTGCTGCCAGCTGGAACAGTAGCCAGGCTTTTCTCTCTCTTGACTATAGGAGTCAAGTGCCTGGATTGCTGGGCTCTGTGAACCTGATTGTGAAGAAAAGCTTTTCTATGTTGCTGCCATTCTGGAACCTCATGTGGCTGCTGCAGTTCTGGAACCTCATGTTGCCTCTGTCGCCATTCTGGAACATGGTGCTCTGCAGCTTTCTCCTCTGAGCAAATTCTTTCACTTTTACAGTTTTGCAAAGGGTAGAGACCCGCTGCTTTCTGGGATGCCCTGTGACCATCTTTTTTATCTCTCTGTTTCTTCTCAGGAATCAAAGTCTCAACTCTGTCTTTATAGTCCACAGCTTTACTGGAGTTTTCCTTCTGGCCAAACTCACAGCCTTGCAAATTATCCTGCTGGGCTCCTTGCTCTTAATTTGCAACATAAAGCTGTCTAAAAGCCGCCAACAATAGCCATACCGCAGCCTCAACATTCTACTGGCCTTGAAATTTTTTTTGCTAGATTAATCAGTCCATTGCCCTTAATCTCCGTCTCAGGCAAAGTCTCTGGGCAGGAGCAAAATGCAGACAAACTTTTTGCCAAGTCATAACACACATCTTGGGGAGTCCAACAACCAGTGCAGTCCTTCTTCACAGCAGAAACCTCCCAAGCCTGATCTTAAGCATCAGGCTTTCTATCAGCCTTCTGCTCTCCTGATTCTCTGACGAGAATCTCTACAGAATAGCCTAAGCTGCTCCAGCTCTATGCATCCAGGCAACATGTCCAAACTTTTCCAAACTCTTGCCACAAGCCATTTTCAAAGCCTCTCAAAACACATGGTCAGGTAAGTCACAGCAAATTACCCCACTCTTGGTACCAAATTCTGTCTTAGTTACTTTTTACTCGTCACTGAGACAAAATACCTGATGCCCAAAGTTTGGAGAAGAAAGGTTTATTTCTTACAGTTTTGTAGGTTTTAGTCCATTCTCAGTTGGCTCCAAGACAGGGTGGCATGGCTGGGGCGCAGTTTATGGTGGCTGCAAACAGCAAGGCAGAAACCAGCAAGAGAGAGAGAGAGAGACACCTTCTTCCTGCCATTACGTCACATCCTGGCTCCATCCCTAGGCCAGTGTAGTACTCACACCCCCAATCCATGTGCTAGACATTAAACTAATCACAAATGCATAATGCAAATGCATGAGGCTTGGGGGCCACTGACATATAAAACATGACAGTGGGGTGAAGACTGACTTGAGCACACTTTGAGGGAGGTGCCAGCCTGAACCTGCAGGTACCCTAGGACATTCCTTACATGGCAGAATCTGTCCTACTTAGCAGCAGTGAGCCCCTAGGAACTCACTCCCAACAGAATCTCGAAACCACACTGGCTACAGGTCGTGCACTTCAGCTGTCAGGGTGTGGCAAAATTGCTTCCATTTGCTCAGGGGGTCCTCTGAAGGGCTGGCAAGAAACAGCTGTTGGGAGTAAATTTCGAACAGAAGCTGAGGAATAAGAACCCAGGACCAGCAAAGGGACCCAGAAGAATTGAGTAGAGCACATGTACCATTAGTAACAGTTCTCCTAGTTAATACTCTCTGAAGTTTAGACTTCTGTTTTATTAACTTATGTGAAAAAGAATCCTCTCTTTGATCCTCTGGTAGTTAACTCCATAGCAGCTGCCTTTTTCATCTTTATTATATATAGTTAGTGTCACATTTAATATTCTCAAATAAATATCCTCACCAGCTACGTTTGCTTGAGAAAGGCCTCAGTAATTAATAAAGAATTACGAACTCTACTTTTCGTGTTACATTGTGAAACTGCATGTAGGTCAATACCTTGTTAATGATGAGCAATGGATTGTATTCCGTGCTGTGAGCCCTCTGCGGAACAGATAGACCACATATTTTGCTGACTCTTTGGAAGGTTCTAAACCATTGGTCATCTCTTAGCTGCCTTAAATTCATTCTCCCTCCTAGATTTATTTGATCTAGTCAAACAATAATTCAAAATGGAGATGGCTCCCCAGCCTCACAGCCACATTAGCCTATGGTTGTCAGCAAATGTGGTCCATGAAGGGGGACTCTTTTACCCTTGAAAAATGCTTATCCTGTCTATCAGTAGTAATGGAGGTCATTGTGCCCATGAGACCTATTCCAAGGTGGAGATATGACCCTTCAGAATCCATTAACCTGTCATATTTAACACACACTGTAGGGGGCTGGAAATGCACACTTGGTTTGGGAACTTCTCTAACAAAGCTCAGTGCCAAAAAGAGACTGGAGTTACTTTTAAAATAAAATCCAAGATTTACTGTATTTTTCAGGGATCAGCTGTCTGCCTGCTTTGCTGCTTTTCTTTCTGTTTTGTTTTGGTAAACTTTACCTTTCAGTCAATAATTATTTACTGAGTACCTACAGTGAGCAAGTACTATGTCAAAGCATAGTAGAGAATAAAATGTGCAGAAGTTTCCTTTTCTGGAAGCTTTCATTCTTAACCTGGAAACTGAAATTAAACACACACACAAATTTGCAGTCCATGGAAAATACTTCGAAGGCAGTAAAGTGAGAGGAGAGAACGGAGTGACTCTGAACAGGTGGATGTGGGAAGTATCTTTACAGAGATGCCATTTGAGAAACAGAAAATTCTCTATTGATCTGGAGGTGGAGTTTTCTGGGTAGAAAGAATATTGAATGTGGAGCTTTTGGTCCAGCAGTGAGGCTAATACACTGCAGAAAAGCTGGCCAGAGGAAAGGCAATGGGGAGGGTGGTCATGAGATCTGAAAGGGTGACAGATACCAGTTCATTGAAGGTCTCAGAAGCCACAGCAAGGAGACAGATCTTGGAGAATTCAGTGGAGGGCAGTAAGTAAAAGGGTGACTTGATCTGTTTTACTTTTTAAAACACAGCTGCCTGCTTTGCTGTTGTTGATATAAGGAGAGGCTGGGAAGACAGGAAGCAAAGGTATCAGGAGATGGCCTGGGGCTGCTTCAGGCCTTGGAGGAGGTGCAGTGACAGGACTGAGCTGGGAAGGGAGAGGGCAAAATTCTTGCTCCTCATGGTAAATCCTTGGGCAGATTACTGAACTTTTCTCAGCCTCCCTTTTAGTGTCTAAAAGTTGATGATGATGTTCACCTAACACATCATGTTCTTATGAGGATTTGCATTAATATGTACTGCAAGGAGAACTCATAATAATTTTGTGCAACTAATAATAAGTGCGTGTTTACTATTTTCTATTGTTATTGGATATAGAAGGGAGAAATCAATGATGACACCTAATTAGAGGGCTGAGCAATATTGCTTGTTATCTGTGTACAGAGACAGTGTTCTAGGAGACTTTCAATATATTAAATCTCTTGCTCTAACTTCGCTGCTGTTGACAGATGGTGGCCACAAGCCAGTGAATTACATACCTGTATCTCGCTTCGCCTGTGTGCTCAAACGCAGAGCAAGTCCTGACTACATCTCCTGCCAACTTCTAGTAAAGAGACTAAGCAGTGTTGCACAAAAAACTAAGCCATTTTTAAAAATTATTTTTAAATAGAGAATTTACTATGTTTTCTACAGATAAATAACAAAAGTGACTGACCTGTAAAAAGAGAGCATGGTTTCCAATCTACATAGTTTTATGTGCTCCATGACTGAGAAGTCTCTGTTCTGTTGTGTGTGTTAACTGTAAGGTATTGCCAAGCACAGAAGAGGGCAATGGTTGCTGTGGCACATTGTCTGATAAGATGGTAAGAAGGTGCAAAGCAGTATTAGAAGGAATGTAGCTCGGGGTAGGTTCTTGCCTGTGATCCTTAGCATTCAAGGACAGAAAGGAAGAGGCGGGGTAAAAAGACAAGGCAAAGGAAAAAAGGCTTCAAATTGACAGTGCTAATGTCAACGAGGGAGTAGAAAGGAGAAGTTCCAATAAACGGTATAGCAGACTTTTTTACTGCTCACACAAAAGAATTAACTTGTACATCATTTTTTAAAAAAAAGTTTATGAATGCAGAAACCCATTCCATTAATTCAGATAGGATGCTTTATGGGATGTTTGGGCTCACTGACTTCTGACACTTTAGAATCTGGAACCCAGGCTTCAATCCTGCCTGAGTTGATTGATAATTATAAGCATATGATTTTGGCTAAACCACCAACCTCTATAGATTTCAGGATCTTTATCAGAGCATCCCAAGAATCAGCAAAGGCAATATAAAAAAGTCCATTCTTTTGTATTGTGGGTATGTTATTAATCACCCAACTCTAAGCAGTTAGGGTTCATTTGGGCCCTAGTCAGTGTGCTTTTATTTAAATGCCTCTTAAAGATAGATGTCAGTGCCAGGAGAATCTGGGAGTTCTTCTTCCTCAGTTCAGACTGTAGAGCGTGAGTCATCTGACAATTCAAGTCAATTGCAGTATTCACTCTGCTATCCTTGAAATGAGTCTCATTATTTTTCAAAAAGATCTCTGCTTTCCAGTGGCCCTTTTGTAAAAAAAAATTACATATATTTTGAATTTTCTCCTAAAATTCCTTGTCATGCATATGAATTTGGGATGGAGGAGCTAAAATTAGAATTAGCGTCCTCCTGTTTCCTGGTTGTGGCTATTCCTGTTTTCCTTTAGCCACTGTGGACATGAGCAGGAAGGAATAGGCCTTTACAGAGAGGATAAGCTCCTGTAGAAGATAGAGAGCACTTTTGATTGGTGTGCACCATCGATTTGACATCTTTCTGAAGTGCACACGAATTTCCTTGCTTCCTTCACTCTGCAGAGTACTGTCAGCACATGACTGACCGTGCCTTCTGAGTAGGGGCACCACGCTCGCAATGGGTATTTCAGACCGCACATCCTGAGGAAGTAACGGTGTCCTGCACTTTATGCTCATCAGTTTTGCCTTCTCTCCCTCCCTTTGCCCTAGGGAAGTGTGAAATCGGCTGGGCCTACTACTGCACGGGCGCAGGGGCTGCCGCCGCCATGCTGCTGTGCACCTGGCTGGCTTGCTTCTCCGGCAAGAAGCAGAAGCACTACCCCTACTGATGGAGCCCGGCAGCCAACAGAGGAGGCGGCCCAGGGGCTGGAAGGGGCCGAGCATCCTTCAGAAGGTGGAATAGTGGTTCTCATCCAACGCCATGCTAAGGAAGCGAAACCTAATGGAATCAGGAGCAATACATAGGAAGGAAAGGTTGTAGAAGATGTGTGGGGAAATACGGAGCGAATGGAATGATGGAGAGAAGTGGACCAAAGGTTAGAAATGTTGCAGAGTGTTGGGTAATTCTATTCCACAAATTATTGTTAATGTATATCACACACACGCACACACACACACACACACACACACACACACAGCAGATCTATATATGCAAACAAGGATTTTTGTCTTTGTTATGTTTTGTTTGTTAAAGGTGAAGATGTGGGAGACTCAAAAGGGCTAGTAGAAACAATATCAAATGGGAAGCAGGGTACCCCGCAGGCGTTCCCTGTAGGTGATGACACACCAGAAAGCACACGCGTACACGCACACATGCACATCCATACACACGCTCCTCCCTCACCCCTAGATCATCACACAGACTTCAAGGGAAGGTTACCAGTGCATCATTCCTCCATTTTTTTAAAAAGTATTGATTGAAAATATAGTATTACCACTTTATAAAGCAAACACTAAACCTAAGAAATGGACCAATAAGCCACTCTGTCAGTATTTGTGTATCCTGGATAAACTTCATACCCTCATCATATTCTCAGTGTTTATACAGACGCTTAGATTTAAGCCTTCATATTTCAATATTATTCAAAGATATGCAATATTTCTCTAGAAGCTTCTGCTATGATATGCTTATGAAAGAAAGGGGCAGCTTTCTGTCCACTGGAGGAGAGAATTCGATTGAAGATACGAGAAAAAGGAGAGTCATTTTCCAGTCATTAGATCTTGGTTTCTTTTGTCCATTATTGTAATGTGCTATACCACATGTATTTCAATATTCATTTTGTAAAAATTATAAAGTGCTATTTTGTTTGTATTTGAAAAACTCTGTGAATAAATTCTCTCTTTGATCAATAGCTCAATGAGTCATAGAGTGTTAATTCATATACCAGGGTTTTTTTCCTTTAATATCTTAAATATAGCCTTTCAACTATGACAGTCCTGATAATCTTCCTTTTGTCTTTAAGGGCTTCTCATTAAAGCATTTGGTAATTATCCAATTAAGTATTGTTCTAAGCATTCAGTGCTTTAAAGATAAGTTTTTTTTTTCTTTCAGCTTAAATTCTTTGTGGTTAGAATTGTAACTTTCTTTCATTGGATTTTGATCATGTCCCAATTCTTATATGAGAATTTCAAGTCTGTTTTGTATTAAGGTTGAGACTATAGGCAATGTTCAGGCGTGGGTTAGGGCAGTAAGAATCAGATCACAATTTGGGAGGTGCCTGAGCTGAGAATCTCCAAGACGGTCAGAGGGTTGTCACATGGTGAAGGTGATTTGCTGCCCCTACACTTTTTTTGAGGTTCTGGAGGCCATTTTACACTCCTATGATTTAAGGGTTGTTGCAGTTTAAGAAAGCTGATGCCCATTCTGCCCTGCGAAGATGGTGTAGACCTTTCATGACCCCTCACCCCTCCACAGTAATCAGCTCTTCCAGGAGCAGAAATTGCATACCAGATAATGAGTATATTCTTTATTAAGCAAGTTTGAGTTATTATAACAAATCCTAAAATTTCAATTTGAATTAATTTGTGAATTACCTACTTTTCATATGCAGAAATTAAACCTTCCAGTTACTTATACGTGAAACTGTATTTTCTACACTGTCCATACATATTTATTGATTTAACTTGAATATCTGAATACCACACTTGCTTCCTGTCTTTTAATCTTTCCAACGTGAGATCCATGCTGCCTTAGGAAGAAGAGTACAAAACTGTGGCCAAGAAAATTCTGGATTTTCTGAGGCTCTGTTGGGATGGAGAACATCATTATGCTCTCAAATGCTTACTTCCTAGCATGCTGAATGTCATTTGATTGTGTCTTATTGTCTGCTGAACAAGGACCTTTCAACCATGGTTTCCAGCAGAGAAGAGACGATTGCACTTTGCGTCCTCAATTCGCCTATCATTTTCATGAATTGATGGTGCTCTTCAGATCTTTTTAACTTCACCCTCCTGTCAGAATACTAGTATAACTTCTTAGCTCCCATTATCAAGCTGATCTTCTCCAGGGAATCCATTAAGGTTTAATACCCAGGGCAAATACAATGGTAGTGCTATCATCTTCATGTCCATGTGACTGGACATCAGCGAAGCTGCCTAGAATAAAAAGCTGATCATCCCTACATGATGAAGCAGGTGACAAACCTTTGCATATAAGTCCTGGCTAGTCACATGTTTTCATCTGTTATTTTTTCATGAGGAGCATTGAATTTAAGAGTTACGTATGCTGCTTTTCAAATGAAAAATCAAGATTCTATAAAATAATACCAGTAAGAATCTGAAAAGCCTGTATAAATGATCCTTAACTTAGAATGGGTTTACATTCAATAAATCATTGATAAATTGAAAATATTGTAAGTCAAAAATGTATTTAACTCACCAAATCTACCAAGCATTATAGCTTAGCCACACAGCAGAGTTTCAGTTGTTCGCCAAAGCGATTTCAAGGCTGACTGGAAACTAGAACTAGCCACCTCTGCCCAGCCTCCTCAGAGAACAGCACACATATTTCTATCCCGGGAGGGGGGGCATCAAAATGAAAAGTACAGTTTCTACTGAGTGTATACGGGTTTTACACAATTGTAAAGCTGAAAACTCATGGGGCAAACTTTAAAATTAGAGATTATCATTCAGTCCTTATTTATGCATATTTAAGATAGGAGAGAATGCTCAATGTTTATAACTTCAAAAGGCTTTCATAGCTTGTACATGCCTGAGAGGGAAGTTGACCTTGTTCTTAAGAAAAGAAAATGACACTCAAGTTAATTGATGACATTTAGTTGATTTCCAGTTTTCAGAAAGTCACTTATGTACTTGAGTATAAGTGCTGAGCAACAATCATAAAACTGTATCAGAAACATCGGTCATTACCATATCCTATGATATGAATTGGCTCTCAAAGACATGGAGGACGTTCCTTCCAAGTAGAGAGTCTTGCAAGACAAATTAAAAAGATGTAAAGAAAGCTGGTAAAATACCATCCTTTGCTCTTCGAAAGTCAACATTAAGAAAAAAGAAAATCAAAGACTAGAAAAAGTTACATGTCTGACAAAGGGAAGCAGAGAAAAGGGATTGATTCTGCATTTTTATTAATAACAAAAATAAAATCATAAATTTTTTGCAATCCTGGGTGAATGGGGAAAATTCGTTAGGACAGCTCGTATTCATAGGTTCTTCTTTGACTCAGGCTTTCTTCTGAAAGTGGGCCATCTCCAGACAGCCTGCCTGGAGAGAAGCCACTATATTATTACAGCACATACCAGCAAGCCATGTAGCCTGGAAGAACTCACCTGCCACCTGGAGAGCAACTTGGGTGCTGAGGATCATGTTCCCCAGAGTTAGTTTCCCAGAACACGGCAAGAGGAGTCCATGAACTTGGCCATTGCATTGGCACAGTCGTGAGGGGGAACAAGAAAATAACTGATTTTGTCCTGGAAGAGTTTACTTACTGTAGAGAAAACACATTATCTCATAATCCAGGTTGTCTTCCCCGCCCACCCGTACTGGGCACTGAACCCAGGGTGATTTCATTGAGCTACATCCCCGGCCCTTTTTCATATTTTACTTTGAGACAAGGTCTCCCCAGTTCATTTTGGTTAAAGTAAATATTTATATCTAAAATGATAAATGTTTGGCAATAAGGAAAATGAGATCATTTTAATATGAGCTAAAGCAAGGAGAGAGCTCAGTGTTGGGAAGTGTTTTGGGGCCACACAAGCTAAATTCCTTCTACCAATGCTTGGGTCTGGAAATTCTTCTGCTTATAAATACTTTAACGAGTTTCAGAATTACTGTTTCTTTAATTATGAGAAGAAAATGTTGCCTGTACTATTGGAAGGCTTATTTCATACCACCTATGTATATGATCACCTGAGATGCTGTTTGACTTACCCAGAAAATCTCATGGCTTCTCATCTTGTAATTTTCTTGTAATTATTTATTGTATTAGAAAATATTCATTGGTCATTTGTTGTGCATCAGATACTATGACGGAATCTGTCATTGACAGTTTATCTTTTATGGTGAACCTCAAATTTTTCTACTTGTTTTGATCCTTTGAAACAAATATTCTTTGTTATAATTCCTTAAGTGGTTATTAGATCACTATGCTAATAATACTAATACTATTTTTAAAAGAATGTTTAGCTTGTAACATATATAGAAATAAGCTTTTACAAGAGGGGCTTTCTATAAAAGGCTGTTTTTCTGCACTTACCGGAAAAAATTAGGATTTGCAGGAGGCAATTTATTAAAGTTATTAAGTCATTAGTCTTCAAGCCCTTTTACCTACAAACATCTAGTCTCTAATGAAACTTGAAAATTACCTGGGGACATAGCTCAATGGTATAAGCACGTCTGGCAAGTGCAAGGTCCTGAGTTCAATCTCTGATACCAAAAAAAGTAACAAGACTTAAAACAACTAAGAATATGAGACGTGATCATAATATATAGTGAATGCTTGAATTTTAAAAGTCTATTACTATAAAAGAGGATATTGATCTTTCTCAAAACATTTTCCCCCACTTCTGACACACTCATCATCACTCTTTGAAGCAGCTCTGGAGGTCCTCTTTTGTGAAGGTCTTTATGAGATGCAATACAAAATCTGATGAATACTGCCGTTGACTGCATCCAACAGAAAGTCAGACTCCCAAAAACATGACAGTGTGTCCTTGCCCTTCTTATTCACTGCTGGTGGCACCTTGCAGCTTCTGGCTCTTCCCCAAAGTCAGAATGAGCAGGCAACGCGAACATTTTGAATCCATTGAGGACATGGAGACAGCCATACAGCACAACTAAAGACACTCATAAAAGAGGATAAAGCTTAGCAGGCACAGTGCCTGCCTGGGAAGCGCGAGGCTGTAAGTTTGATCCCCCGTGCAAAAATAAATAAATAAACAAATAGTAATCTCTAAAAGTACTTCAGAAAAGGACATGGACAATACGATGTGTGTTTGAAGTGAGAGGGGCAGGTGTTATTTTGGGGGAAGGTGGGCTGCTAGTAGCAATGTCTTTTGTAATTTTTTAAAATTTGAGCAGTCACTGTATTATCTGATTATACTTCACAGGTTAGGGTCAGTTGTCAGTAATGAGTTTCGATTCTGTTTTTTAGCTAAAGCTTCATGCATATATTAATGAGGACTTCAGTGAAGATTTCACTGCACTAGCTGTGTGAACTTGGGCAAGTTTCTATATCTTAGTTCCTTTATTGTTATTCTAAGCACTAACCTTTTTTTTTTCTTACCAAAGTTTCATGAGAGTAAGATAAGACAATCTCTGAGGAGCTGTTTATAGTTCTGTTACTTGGCAAGCATTTAATACTTGTTAATTTTTAATCATGATTAATTTTTATTTCTTTCACTCTGGGCCCCAGAATTTTGATCAATAGTAAAGGAGCATATGTACACTCTTAGTCTATGTAAAAGTACCAAAAAACGTAAAAGAACTCCAGCTTTTATAGAGCATCTAAAAAGATTTGCTACAAAAAGTATCAATACCTGATCATAATAGCTAACCCAAAAGATCATTTCTTACCGGATCTTATCCCTGTCTTCAGTTCTTCTGAAGACCTACCATTCATCCTTTTCATGGAAGCTAAGGAAATGTCTCTTGCCAAGTTAGTTCATTTTCTCTGTTATCCACATTGCTTTGTCCTTTGAAGTGCTATATGCTTTAGAATGTCTTCTTCCAAAACACAGATCTCTTTTTTTCATTTTCCATCAGTTTATTTTTCTGTGGTGTGTATTTCACATTCAAGCTCCCCGTAACACATAGCTGTGGTTTTGATGTTGCATCTGCCTAAGATTTGACACTGAGCTTCCCAGACCTTGATCTGTGTTCCTGTGACAGCATC